TTCTAACTGAACCTGCAAATGTCCCTACTTTATTCCTTTCTTACTGAACCTGCAAATATAATAATGATACAACTGGAAATGATTTTTGTTTTACTTTTTGCATTTGGAATTTTGTAATGTTCACTACTGATTGTATTTATCAAGAAAATATGTGGTCCACATTTATTAGTAAACTAAGAATATTAAAACTATATATTTTTATAAATAAAAGTAGTTAAGCCATTATTTCTCAATACATAAAGAAATAAAGAGATATCCAAACATTATATTCCTCGTTACCTAGAAAATTAAAACATCCAAGCTTCTAATATTTCAGTAAATAAATAATGAATAGGGAAGGTATTTTATAAATAATGGAGTAACCAATATGCAAAATTAATGTTTTTCAATGAATAACAAAAATATTCAATCTTAGTAAATAATTTCATGTAGAGCTACACAAGCTCTATCTGCACATTCCTGTCTCTAATTTTGAACCAATAGATTATAAATAACACAGCTAGCTAGTTAAAAGCACTCATTGTCAATTCTTGGACTACCAAATAGTGAGATTTGACCATCACACTTAGAGAGATTAGCTTATTTTAGCAGCGACGAGTTGGGAACCATGTATCATCAGTTTGACAGTCCAGTCACATCAACTGCCAGGCAACATCCAGTCTCAAATTTAATAACTTGTGAATTAATTATCCAAATATGTATTGAGAAACATATATCAATATTCAGTAACACAAAAACATTTTCAAATATCAATACAAGCAAGTTCAACAGTGAAATTAAAATGTTAATAAATCTTACAAAGTAGGTTGATGTCTATAATCAAACATAGTTCATGTAGTTAACATCAAGATACATATCTTTTCATGTAATTTCAAATTTCAAAACTGGTGTGTGAAACTTAAGTTATGAACATATATATACACCCATAATGTGAATTAGTTTATAAGGTGGGTTGCATCAGTTTTTGATGTCATTAAGTTATCTAATGAAATAATTTTGGTAGAATACTGTTTGTTTTACAAACGCATAAATTCCCGAGTTACCCATCAAACGATGATATTGAATGTTTAACAGGGAGAGGTTTGAGGCCATTTACTCAACAATGGTTCATGTGGGTACCCCTGATGCTGAAGGGAAAACAAAATTAAGAAAATTGAAATTTTATAAGGTATGGTGACAGTTATTAGGAGATCCTGAAAATAATTCCAGCACAATACGTGAAAAATTATGGGTTAAAAAAAGAGTTAAAGCTGATTTATAAGATATAAAAGTGAAATACTTGTAACGAATGTTGACTGTCTGGCAAATATTTAAGCTTACTAATAGTTAGCTTATTTTATGAATGGAAAATTCTGCTATGAAAAGATCAGTGTTTTGTTTCCGGCTTACCTCAGTCTCCTTTGACCTGTAGTTAAAAACAGTCACCCTGATTCCAATCTGTTCCCCTTCTTTACATACTTCTGGCATTTCAATATTCATGAAGAATGACTTCATACTGGAAAACTAAAGAATCAATATCACTTACAGTCGTAGATTAATGAATGTGTTTAGTAGATTCACAGAACAACACAACTTAAATAAATATTACTTTCAGTCATAGATTAATGAATGTGTTTAGTAGATCCACAGAATAACACAACTTAAATAAATATTACTTTCAGTCGTAGATTAATGAATGTGTTTAGTAGATCCACAGAATAACACAACTTAAATAAATATTACTTTCAGTCGTAGATTAATGAATGCCGCAGATCTATACCCAGTGTTTTTCCATTCCTTTAGCACATTACAAACAGTGGATTTGGATATTAAGTATCGTGAATTCTCATGCCATCAGTGTTGCATC